GGTGGCATTAAAATAAAAAAAGAAATAGAAAATTTAAGTGTAGTGCTTAGGGCAAACGTTTGAACTTTAAATGTTATAGAAACTTTACTATTTGTTGGCTAAGTGCCAAAGCGAAGTTTTGGTTCTAAAGCGCTCCAAATTAATTATTACTAGGCCCAAAAGCGTTCATTTCTAGCAACCACGTCGAAACTCTCCATTTTCCCCGTCGAAATTGGCGAAGTGGGATCAAAGCAGTTCTAATCTGAGGCAGTACAACTCGCTTTTGAAATATTCCAGACCGACGGACCAATTTGCTGTTACAATTAAAGTACTAACACAAGATATATAAATCGTTAAATAAATTCATTTTCTAGCAAGTGAAAATTCTGGTTACAGTTTGACAGTGTGATATATGGGAAACTCTGTTTTGCTGATACAAATCAAAGTCACGGAGGGGAAAACTAGCTATAGGTCGGAACTACTAAAAAACGTGTTCGCACGCAACGGTGCAAACTTAATTACTTACAGATAGGTGAAATTATCGTAAAAAAAGGAAAAACATGTCAGTGACGTGCAAACTTATGATTAAAAAATAACAAATGGACTTAAAAGCCTCTCTCTGATTAAATATGTTAAATTTTCCTGTAGCAATTTAAAATCATTTAATTTCATCTACTCATTTTTATATTAAATATCACTATGTGCAACTTCTTACGATGGTAGTGTTTGGCATCAAGTCTTTTTTTTTGTCATTTGCTCATTTTTTATTTTATTTTAAAGGGCTAAAACTGTAATAATTTATGTAATGTCCACGAACTTAAGTGCTTAGCGGCCATTTTAGTTTTAGTCTTTTTACATTGTCGGGTATGTTGTCATTACAGCGGCCAAATTTAACTACTAATCACTGTTCCCAATCCCGATAAACACCACCTTTGTTCTGTATTGACTCAAAGAAAAACGTCTTGTATTGCAAATTATCCTGGCTTTATAATGGCTTTCCTCCACCTGAATTGGATCATCAGATAATGATATAAATTTATATAAACAGCTAAAAGTCTTGGCAGTTCGGTAAAATGATTGCTTAGCTTGAAGAGGACGGTCGATACATACAGTAGGTGAGTGTGTGACGGAATGTATACTCCAGTTCACTGAGCTTTATAACTAATGTGTATACTGACAAAGGTACCTTGCCTAATTTTGATATAAGTCCGGATACCTTACTACAAAAGCTCGCAAAATAACGGAAAATTCAGAAAATAAGCCCCTCCAAATTTAAGCCCCCAAACTCGTAACGCAAAAAAACCCCTCCATTAAATTGCCCCTCCGAATATAAGCACCCGAGAGCTTGTACTTCGAAATTGCCCTCAAATACAAAATGAAACAAAGCAAAAACGGTGCAGTAACACCAAAATTTTTGCATTTGCCAGAGAACTATTACGTGTGCAAAATGATTGCAGTCAAAAAGTTTCACAGTTTATCGCTGTTTGCGTAATTCACTCCTCACTCTTGGCTTGGATTTCCTTGGTCTATAAAGACAAAGTACTTGCATGGCTGGGTTTTAGAAAGATCCACATCCTCAAGGCGAGTTTAATTTCCTTCCAACTATAAGCTAGCCCAATCGACTTTGAGACGCAAATTTCCCTCCAACACTAAGTTAGCCGATTCTGAAACGCAAATTTCCCTTCGTATATTAAATAAGCCCCTCCGAATAAAGGCCCCTCCAAAGATAACCCTCACAAAAAAGGCCTTTGAAAAATGTACGCCCCGGGGCTTATTTGCGGAATTTTACAGTGTGTATGTTGACAATTTAAGTTAAGTGCAAAAAATAAAGAGCTGTGAAAAGGACAGAGTGATGAACAACAACTTTTCGGAACTGACAATGTGAATGTCTCTCGGTGGTATCGAGATTTCGAGATTGTATAAACGTTATTTGTTCCTGACACTGTAGGTGCCATTCGCCACCCAACAAGGCTCAAGAACAAAAAAATTATAGAACTCTGTCAAATGATCATTTCGTTTTCATTTCAAAAAGAACACTCTAAGTATTTACGCAGGTCTTAAAAGGGCTTCATCGGGCCAGCACAGTCAATTGCGTTCAGTATTTTTATTTTCCTCAAGTACTCGCTCTTTCTTTCCATTGACTTTTTTAACGCTGGCGAAGAAATTTCTTGTACCGCATGACAAAACCACAGCTTTGTGACGAGGAAATATGTCTCCCGAGCGTTGTTCAATATTTAAGTTTCGAAACAAAAGAGACGAACTATGAGACCCATGAAAAAAAAAAACTGTTAGGTTAAACAGCTTTCAAGCACTTCAATTGTTGCTTGGTCTAAAGGCTCCTTCAAACATTTGTCCATCTGTGTTTAGTGCTCCGTTTTGTAGTTTTTGTACCATTAAATTGTTCCTCAAGCGTAATGGGTAGTTATTTTTATGTTTCGCCCAATTTTGTGGCCAGGTCAGGCCTAGTGCCTAAATTTTACTAAATTTTGTGACAAATAACTGCGTTCTTCAAATCCTTCTTAAATGATAAATCAGAAAACCTTAAAGTTTTTGTTCTATGTTTTAGAAAGAATCGATTAAAATAAGTACGTACGTATTAGAGATAGATTAAATTAAAGTAGATTGAAAAGTAGTTCCTTCTTACCACAAGCTGATCTCCGAGTCAGTTCGTAGAAAAGCTGTAGGACGAAGAACGTTGTTCAGGGAAAGTACACTTTTTAAGAGAAGTGATAAAGGAAGTGAAACATCAGACAAAGTTAAATCCTATTTTGCCAGAGTATACTCCCTAAAGAATTCTATTGCGCTCTAATTATTTTGCTTTTTTTGTGAATGACCGGTTTGAATTTATCATACTGTGTAAGGTTACGGAAAAACATTTCGGGCGCCAATCACGGTTATAAAATATGCCAGATTTGCTGTTTTATTATCTTTTGTCTAAAGAGAAAAATTGTGACGAAGCGTGAATTTTAACGAAGAAATGAATACTCTTTACGAAGAGTGTGTGGGTTCTTTAACGTCCCACAGATTTATTACATGTGCAAAGGCTTGTGAGACGGGGCCTACGGTTTATCGTCCTTATCCGAGAAGACCAGAAAGTCTAACCATTTGCAGATATCATTACAAAGGCAGCACTTTCTCCTCAGTTATTTAAAGACCCTGAGTGTTGGTCCGGCCGGGGTTTGAACCTACGGCCTCCCGCTCAGCAGACCGGTGCTCTCCCAACTGAGCTAACCGGGCGGCAGTATACTCCCTAAAGAACTCTATTGCACTCTGATTATTTTGCTTTTTTTGTGAATGACCGGTTTGAATTCATCATACTGTGTAAGGTTACGGAAAAAAATTTCGGGCGCCAATCACGGTTATAAAATATGCCAGATTTGCTGTTTTATTATCTTTTGTCTAAAGAGAAAAATTGTGACGAAGCGTGAATTTTAACGAAGAAATGAAGTTTTACGTTTTGCCTAGTAAAGATTAGAGTTTATCTTGTGACCCTGTTTTTTAACAGCCGTATTTACAATTTTAATCGACACTCGAAAGAGCCTTCTGGTTAAAAATGGACATAATATCCCGATGGTGAACTTTACAGTACCGTGCAGCTTTTCTCTCGTGGGTTTTGTGAACAGGAGGGTTTTTCATGACGAAGCAGATATTGTAAACAGACAATAAGGTTTTAAAAAACAAGATGCACCCTCTACAATCCGGCGAGCGATCCCACTTATCTAGGGGCATTTGAATTGATCTAAACTGACGAAGAACTCTGAGGAGTCAACTAGGCCTCTTGCGACCTGCTAGTGTTGGACAGAAACGAGCAACACGAATCTTATATTGTAGCTCGAAAAGCGGAATACATACTGCATTCTGGTTTTTGGCGATAATAACTTTCATGGAGTTTGCTCAACCAAATCTGTTACTCGTAGCATTTTAAGAACAGCTAGATACACTAGTAAACGATCATAGCTAGAGACCCCCTCATACTCCCGCCTTCTCCCTAAAGCAATTGAAACCATCGGCCCCTGAAAGACTAAAATGGATCCTATGTGTTTCGTGTGACTAATTATAACGCACACCTTATCTGAAGGGAGTTTTACAACACAACTCAGTATGCCTGTATATATGTATATATACCTAAAATAAACTGATTTTTTACATTCCTAATACTTCTAATCTTGGGAATCTTGTGATACTCAGTAGGAAATGACCTTCTCAGCAAGTTTTTTGTTGTTGTTCGTCTCCATTTTTGGCGCCATTTTGAATTACGTCATTTGTGCATGCAAATGACCCTCGTTCGATCAAGGTCAAGCAGAATATGCAACTGAAGAGCGGGTTTATTACTGAGCTGGTGATTCTGTCCTACCTTTCTCGGTGGTGCTACATTGTTAGGTCAGGACATCTTATATCAGTCATAGAGAGCTGAAACAAATAAACACCAGGCAAAATTTGTACCGTCTGTGCTCTGTTGAGGAATTTACCTGTGTTTTTAGTCTGTTTATTTAATCGTAGTTTTAATATTCTCTACCTGCAACGAACATTTCACCTTGTATAAAGTACGTTTGAAGAATTTTACACGTGTATCAGCGATTCCTATGTTTATACATACAATACTTCGTATACTTCGTATGATATCGACGTCTGATATATCTGCTTAGAAATTGGCTGATGAGACCATCTCATTTTCGCGCGAGTCCCGTATGTCTAATTTAGAGACTTATCAACTGTAGGTGACATAATACATTACATTATTTTCACTCTAAATCTTAAATAAGACAATAAAGAAGTCAGTACTTTATACCTTCACGATTAATCTTGTTAACGTTTACTATATGAATTCAATGCTTTTCCGTCACTTTAGATACTGATTTCGTCATGGGGCTGGAACAACAACATCAGTCAAAATTTACAACTGGTCCTTCATAGCTGACTCAAGAACCTAACAACACAAGCCTAAAAGAGTATGATTTATCATATGAAGCGGTCGCTAGACACAGTTTAATATCTATCCCCCACACTGATCAAAGCAAGCAATGGATGTCGGTGGAATTACCAAAATCCAGATTGTCATTTGTATTATTTCCATCTTTGCATTTCTTGGAAACACGTTGACCATTCTAGTGTTTGTTCGTGACAAAAAGCTTTTGAAAAAGTCCTACAACGCTTTCATTCTTTTCCTTGCCATAGCAGATGTGCTGACTGCCATTCTCTTGATCACAAGTCCGCGCTTCGCCCTCGGTGACCTTATTCCTCGTCCAACCGATCCAGTTCTGGGAGAGATCTACTGTCGAACGATTTGGAGCCGAGTGTTTCTCTTTCAACTAGTGTTTTTCTCCATTTACATTACATTGCTGTTAACAGTAGAGCGATGGGTTGCTGTTGTAAAACCTACTAGATATAACTTAATCTTCAAGGGAAAGAGACTCATGGGTTACGTCTTGTTCTGTTGGCTCTGGTCATTTGCTCTCACTGGAACAAACTTGTTTGACGTCGGCTATGAACCAAGTTCATCATCCAATGACATCTGCAAATTCAACTTTATTTCATCAGGCTCTATCTTCCGCACGTCTCTGTCTGTGTTCCTTATTATCATGAAGTTGTTCTTTCCATGCCTTTCCATGATTGGACTGTACATACATATGATTGTGAAGACAAACAACTCCCCAGTTGCCTCCGCGGAGAGCAAGGCCAAACTACGAGGGAAGATGACAAGAATGATCGGCATTATGACCTGTATTTTACTCTTATGTTATTCCCCAAACCAAATCTTCTTTATCTTTGCAACTGCGGGTAAAGCGAAAATAGATTCTACACTCCACCATTTCACAGCAATTCTCAACTTCATCGCCATTTGTGTTAATCCATTTATTTATGGACTGAGTAATCCTAATTATGGCCGGCGTTACAAGAAGGTTTTCCTTTCCTTTTTTCCCCAACCGCGAAGAATCGGACCTCCCATGTCACACTCAACTGCCATGGAAGCACATAATATTACTGTCAGTCGACGCTAATTGTGACTTATTATATAACCACCAAAGAAATACCATGAAATCCTCGCATGCATGATAAATCGTGCATTTTGCAGCAAAAAATTATCCATCGCAGCAAAAAATATATTTTAAAGTTAAATGGTTTGGAATTTCATTGGTGTTTATGTAATAAGTAGAACATTACACAGCCGCTTCGAGATACCAAATTTCTGTTCTAGTGATAAAGACTGTCAACAATGGAAGAAAAATTAAGTTTCTCCACGCAGGGGCACCCAACGACGGTTTCTTCCTAAATGCATTGAAAACACTTTTTAGGGTATCCAGAGTATACTTTTAGATCTCTAGAAATGCATTTTAAGCAGCCCTATAAAATTTGTATCTGTTCGGTCATCCTAGGGCAACTTGAGTCTTTTCGAAATTGGTAGGGCTTCAGTACTATTTTCCCGAAAATTTTAGATGCAATTTAACGTTTTACGAAAGTAAGAATTGTTCTCATTCCTCTCTCCATCACATTTTCAAATCCGACAAATTTTAGGATTCCTTTCTCTACGAAAAGTAGCTTAACCTGGGCAGTGAAATGCGAAAAATTAAACTTTAAAAAATCGTAGGGAATTTATAAGATAAGGTTGAGAAAACTGTACACGAATGGAAAACTCATCTAGAAATTTTTAGCCTTCCTCAAGCTATAGAAAATTGTAGGCAATTTTCCCTTCCCCGAACAGATATTTTACAGAAAACAGTCGCTGGGTGCCCCTGTCCACGGCGCCATATAATATCCTCTATTAACTATAAAGGAATAAGTACATTCTAAGTTAGTGAATAGTTAAGAATGGGATTATGCATTCATGGACTTAGCAAGGCTAATTACCACCAGAACTTAAGGTACGAATATATCGAGTTATGTATGCATACGAGAATTTTGGAGAACACAAGAGATGCCTAAGAATTGCTCAAGGCGATAAAAAAAATCGATCAGCTCATAGGTTTAAGAAATGAAACATGAACTAATTATTTTAAAACATAGCGGCAATAGAGTACTGTGATTGATTACAGATTTGCAAAACGCGCGGTGCAGAGAAAGAAACGCTTTAGATGCCCTTTCTTTTTTTTACCATGATGGGTATTTCTCAGGTAAGTAACATTTGCTTTCAACTCCGAAGCCGGAAAACAAAACGGCTTTTCTTTGAAAATCTTACCGTTCTGACAATCAATGCTTCGTGATTTCTTGAATATTCGAGAAAGGGGGACTGAAACTAATGGCCCTGTAAAACCTCGTTGAGTGAAAAAGGGCAAGTGATTTGAGTCTGGCCTGTTGAACATGTAAATACTCTGTTAGTCGAAAATGATGATTGATTTGACCCCGCAATACTCTGTAAATTAAAATATGAGGGTTGGCTAGGCCCTCCAAAAGCCACTAGTAACTGTGAGTGGACTTTAATAATTGACTGCTAGATGGAAAAAGAGGTCTAATTTCACCCTGTAAAAACCCAATAAAGTGAAAAGAGCGAGACCAATTTAACCCTGTAGAACCCTATATGTTGAAAAAGGAAGACTGACTTGACCTTGTAAATATTCTGAAATCCCAAAAGGGAGACTTATTTCTACCTGTCAATTCCTGTAAACCAATAAAGGGTGGTTGGACTGACCCTGAAAAATCATGTAAATCGAAGAAGGGGGACTTATTTGACCATGTAAAAACCTTGTAAAGCAAAAAAAAAAGGGAATCTGATACCCCGTAAATTTATATCACCGAGGTGTTTAATCAGAAATAAATTACATAAACCTGTAAGTGGATAAGGAAATGATAATTATCTGGAGCAAAGTAGTAAGGAAACTAAGAAGAGAGAAAACAAGGCAGTATGAAATGTTTATATTAATTGCGGAAGAAAACTTGTGGGCATACGACAAATTATATAAACATGTATTTAATCAATTTTTATTCATTCGTCGATAGATTGGTTTTATTTATTTCTTCATGCTCATACATGCATATCATTATAAACTTTAAATATCCTCCACTGAGCTAATGAAGGCAGGCAGGGGAAACACAACAGGGGCGTAGCCAGGATTTTTCAAAGGGGGGTGGTCACAGAGGCTACTCACCAGACTATATATGGTTTATACCGCTGCTCTCCCTCGTGTATCAGCGGGCTCAGTCGTATTATGGCGGCATGAAGGCCCATATTAACTAAAGACAAGAGCAGTTGACGAAAATACTTTACAAAAAAACAAATTTTAAGAAAGTGGGCTTTTCAAGAATGGCTTTTACGGCCAAGATATTGTCATGGCGTTTTTGCCACCTGAATATTGTACTAGGTTGTTTGCTCAAAAGAAGGCCTACCAAGGGGGGGGGGTCACGGGCACCCCAGGACCCCCCTAGCTACGCCCCTGCATAAAGTACACTTTTACTACCAAGACATGAGAAAGAAAGACAGAAAAAGAGGAAAGAAAAATGTACGTAAATGTAAGTTATTACAATACAAGGTAACGTAATTACGAACTTATTTCACATTTTATGTCAGCTTTCTTTTTTTATTCACTTACATGTGTCAACGTCCTCCGGCTTGAAAATATGTAGGAGGTGATGTAAAAACGCCTTTAGGTGGCCCGAGTCTATTATAAGCATGTTGGTAATACTTTAATTTGAATCGCTTTTTCAGCAGGAAAAATTAAACCGATTTCTATGATTTTTGGCCACCTTAATGAAAAATAGTACAACTTTAATAAAATTTTATCGATTCCTTTTAGCTATAAAATCGCTGTAGATATCAGCATATACATGTATTTAAAACCCCGTTTTTGCAAAAAATGTTAATAACTTTGAAATGCTACAATATTTTTTTCTCTTAGTTCCGCAAATAAGCCTCAGAACTCTCTAGTTCAGTATCTGCAAGTTTGAATTCAATCGTGACCATACAATGCGCTGCACAAAATGCTGGACAAATTTTTCTTAAATTGTTATGCCAACACATTTGTGAAAGTTGATGTACAATTGCTCACAGACTATTTTCTATCTGAAGCAGGGTTTTAACCCAAAAGTTATAATGAAAGAAACTACGTAATCAGAGGCCAACAGCCAGCACAGTTGGCGTTAGAAGAAGAATAACTTTATGCTGTACTCGGGGTGAAATTTAAGAACTTCTATTTATCAACTTTACTGTGTACTTGTCCCTTTCTTTTTGAAACAAATCTTAACCCTATCCAGACCGGATAGGGCGTTTGGAGCTCTCCCCCTGCTAAACTTCAAAACCGTTTATACGATGACCACCAACTGTGTTGTACTGTAAATTACAGACCGAGTTTTTTCCCGTCGATTTATGGCCCAAGCACGAAGCACGCAGGCCATAAATCGATGGAAATAAACGAGGATCCGTAATTTACAGTACGGATCGAAACAACGAGGCTGTATAAGATGTTTATTATATGGCTTCTTCCTGTTTGGGGGTTGGCACAATTTGATAGTCATTTGACAGGCGTCAAAAAAGAAAGTTTTTATTGGCGCACGAAAACAATAGCACATAACAAAGGCTTTCCGAGAAAGTAAAAACAAATTCGCCATGTCAGTGAAAAAGTTTATTCGGTCAAAACTAAGAGCACGATAAGTTTTAGCTCTTTAATGTAACGCTGGAGTATTTTGGAAACCGAATACTGTGTCTGTCTAGAAGTCTTTTCCATCTTTCCTCCGTTTTTCCTTGTTGAAAAAACACTGCAAAAGGCAAAGAAGCTTTTCAAGGTAAGTTTGTTGTCATTGTCGAAGGATTCGCTCGTTAATTGTTTTTGGGAAAACCTCAGTGCTAGTTCATTCTCGTCTTCAATTGTGATCTGCGTTGAAATTTTCAAACACTAACTAGAAATCTCTTCCTCGATAAGGTTACGATTCACTTTCTACATCAGCTTCAATCTCATTTAAACAAAGCTAGGTTAAAATTTGCAAAGGCAAAGTCAACATCCCAGTCCTCAGGGGTTTACAGACATACTTTAAAGTTTATTCGGTCAAAACTAAGAGCACTGTAAGTATTCACTCGTTAATGTGACGCTGGAGTCTTTTAAAGTCTGGACATTGTGTCTGGCTCGAACTCGCTTCTATCTTTCTTTCGTTGGTCTTTGAAAAAACACTGCAAATGGCAAAGAAGCTTGTTAAGATGATCGGGTGCAGGTATGCTTGTTATCATATTTGTCGAAGGAATTACTCATTTTCTCTTTGGCAAAACATCTCGAATCTCTGCCAGTCGATTTGCGTCTTCTTAACTGTGTACTACGATAAAATTTTCAAACACTGACTAGAATCCTCTTCGATAAGATTACGAGTTAGTTTCCTCATCGCCTTCGTTCGCAAATAAACACAGTTTAAAATGTTGAAGGCTAAAGTCAACATCCAAGTCCTAAAGGTTAAAACAGGCGTCCTATAACTTTGTTTAAACCTTTTTTCGGGGGAAAAGAGATTTAGAGCCCCGAAATGAGCATTTTCTTTAAAAATTTTGGTCCGTATAGCAAGTTACGGACCGCAAATTGACCAATCGCATGGCGAAAACAGACTCAGCCATATAATAAATGTATTTATTCTCCAAACCGCTGGGGGCAGGTACACTTGAGCATTTAGAAAACAGTGAAGTATATTATATACATCAGGGTAAAACTCAATGCTTGAGTTTATTGGGATTTTTCTGGCTATTTTAACAGGCTATTTTCACGGAAGTAGCGATTAAATCAAAATTTGGAGATAGATTTCCTTTAAAAATGTTCAGAGCTGCAACCTCAACCTCAATAAGACATAAAAGCTGTGTCTAATGCAATACATATATTTTTGAAATGTAGTTTAAAGTAAAATCATAGTTACTGATGTTATAAAATTTACAATTTTTGAGTGTCTGAATTATTTCTTAGTATTTCTTCATTTTCTCCCTGTTTAGTGTTAAGATAGCAAAAAGTTTGACGTTTTTAAGTAGCAAGTACTTAAACTTGTGTTTAGTTTGTATCCCTTCCTTAATTTGAATTTTCAATACCTTGAATTAAGATAAGCTGATTGTTTATTAGCTCAAAAATTGTTAATATATATTTGCACGGATGTTAGATTTTGATGAGTATTCATTAAAACTTCCAATTTTAGCAAGGTATCTTCAATTCGAACTTGGTAATTTCCTGTTTAAACCTCAAATAACACGCGACTAATAAATCAAACGACTGAATTGATTTTTAACGTTACCTTCCTATGATTTATCTATTGATTGGCTTTTTTCTGAGTGGTGCAAAAATATCAATGCAAATCATTAAAAGCAAACACCTAATGTTAAATGTTAAGGAAACTTTACTATTTTTTGGTTATGTGCTAATGTGAATTTTTGGTGTTAAGAGCTCCTCAAACTAAGTGTTACTAGGCCCAAAGCGTTGATTTCCGACAATCACATCCAAACACTTAATTTTGCCATTAAAAATGACGGATTGTGATTTAAGCGCTTCTAATCTAAGCTAATCTTCGGCAGTCGCGCTTGTGACACTCCAGACCGACGAGCCAATCTACTGTCTTAATTAAAGTCCGAACAGAAGATAAAAAAGGTTAAAGAGATTCATTTTCTAGCAAATGAATATTCTGGTTACATTTTGCCAGTGTGATGGCAAACTCTGTTTTATTGAAAAACGTTGTTAAAGTCACTAAGCGGAACTCTAGCCTCAGGTGATTTTCTGAAAAAATTCTAATATGTTCGCACGCAACGGTACAAACTTGATCACTTTCAAATAGGTGAATTCTCTCAAGCCAAATGATCGTAAAAAAAAAACAGATGTCAGTGACGTGCGAACTTATAGAGCGTTTTCACTCACGTGGCCAGCATCTATGCTTATTCATTGGAACAAAAGAAAGTTTTCACAAAAGAAAAGAATTCAATTCCCACAGGATTGTCTAGGTACGCCAACATGGCCGCCGTTCCATTGTTTTAGAACACCAATATGGCCGCCGTGACGTCATGTGTAAACGCTCTATAATTAAAAAGTAACTCGACAAAAAGCCTCTCTCTAATTAAAAGTGTTACACTCTTTTTTTTCTACAAGAATATATGTTATAAGAATATCGAGGCTGAAATTTGCAAAATTTTAAGAATAGTTAATACGAATAAAGCCGAGGCTGGGATTTCGAAAAGGATGATTATTTTGAGTGATGAAAATCTAAAAAAATATGTTTTTAACTTAGCCGTATCAAATCAAATTTATACCCAACAAAACGAAGAAACCTGCATTGATTATAGCCAACTGTTCATTGCTAATAACAGTTCGATGAACGGTACATGAAACACATGTATAGTATACAGGAAAAAAAAAATGAACAAACTGCTAAAAGGAAATGATAAATTCTTTCTCTTTAAATTATAATATAATTCAAGAATAATACAAGAATATTTTCAGACTAAAATCGGTAGAAAAATAGGAATATTCAGCCTGGCCCGAAAAAACAACATTCTCATTTTAAAAAAAGTGTGTAAATTTTCCTGGCAGTTTAAAATCAGTAGATTTCATCTACTGATTTTTATAAATGTCACGATTTACACCTTCTTACGTTATGATTGTTTGGCATCAAGTATTTTTTGGTCATTTGCTAATTTTTTTCATTTTAAACGGCTAAAACTGTTAGTTATGTTTAATATCCCCGATCTTTAATGCTTAGACCCTTTTTAGGTTTTTTGTGTTTTTATATTGTCGCCTATTTTGTCATTAAAGGAAGAAACTTTAAAAACGCCACTAATCTCTGTTCCCAATCCAAGTAAGTTCCACCTTTTTTCGGTATTGACTCGAAGAGAAATGTCTTGTATTGCAAATAATCCTGGATAAAATGGCTTTCCACCACCTGAATTGGATTAGCAGAAGATGAATTTTCGATAATGTATAAACACCTAAAGGCGTGCTGTTCGTTACAATAATTGCTTAGATTGCTTAGTTTGAAGAGGACGATCGATACATGCAGTAGGTGAGTGTGTGAAGGGATGTATGCTCCAGTTTAGTTAGCTATATATATGATATATAGATTTAGCCAGGGCTAAAAGCGAAGCTGTCGATAATATTTTTAGTTTGCTCAAACAAAATATAAAATCGTGTAATGCTGAGAGGCGAAGGCAACGAGAACGGTGAAAAAACAACAGTACGGCTAATTAGCAAAATAGCAACTTTGCACGTGGTGTACACCTTTTTGTACATTTCTTTGCCGCTGTCTTGCACGTCTACGACGTGAAACTACCAGAAACTTCCTAGTTACACGTTTTATGAAGGAAATGTCGTACGTGCTTTTGTTCACTTTTTTTTCCACTGCCACTTATTTTCACCTTGGTGGCCGCTAGCATTTCTCATTTTCTCGCCACCGCTAGAAAATTTTCATGCCGTTCTTCCAACAAAAAATGTCTCCTTTTTTTTCTCTCGCTCTAGCTTTCTGTCGCTCTTTTTCTCGTCGACATTCGCTGGCCTGTCGCCCATTTTCTCTTTTTCTCTGTCTTTCTCTTTCTCTATTTTTTAAATTTGTGGACATGACAATTAATCTAAGCTTAATACTTTAGACAACACATATTGAAACAATTTCCGCTTTCCGTTGTCGTCTTTATTGACTCTTAAGTTGTCTTTGCTTTACAAGACGCGGGTGGCTATGCGTTTTCCACAAAAATAACCTCGAGTTGCATTTACGTTGCCATACCCGTTTATTGAGTTATTTTACATTGGTATGCCTGTACTGCGGACGGACGGGCCGAAGTACAGTCACGTGTGTACCAAAATTTCTCGGATGAATAGATTATCACATTTTCTTAGGTATATGGGGCTACACTAGGGCGCGCGCTTGGAGCTCCGCTATGAAAAAAGAAATGTATACCGACTACTGGGTCGATTGATTTGAGTTTACTCACATTTATGGGTACCTTACTAAACGTTTTCATCAGTTTTGCCATTGAAAGCATTACAAGTTGCCCTCCATTTCTCTAGGCTTGTGTTAATCTCCTCCACAAAAACGTTTTTGCTGGCCACAGTCCAACATTTCCAACCTCTAAGCTAATCAAAATTTATACCTTCAGAATATTGTGACGTAAATCGTAAAGCCTGGTTTTCACTAGTGCATAAGCATAAGCATTAGCCTAACCATAAGCACTAGCACACGTTGGCTTCTCTCATTTGAAATTTACAGATTATCTCGGAGAAAAATAAACTTCTTTTTCATTTTCAAAAGTGGGAGAAGCTAACTAATGCACTTTGTAGTAGTTGATACACATAGGTTCGTCAAAATTAGCAGGCATCTTTATTGTTATCGTCGTTGTTGTAATATATACATATATGTTTCGTTGTTATGTTATCATTTTCCTTTTTTTAAAAAGTAGAATTGTATAATTTGATTCATTTAATTAATGTTTATTCTTAAGTAACATTGTAAAACTTGTCTTTAATTCAATAAAAACTGTAAAAAATAAAAATAAAAATAAGCACTAGCACATGTGTAAGCAAGTGAAAACTAGGTCGACATAAGCAAAAGCATAAGCTCAAGAAAAACGGACAAGTTCGTTCTTCTCGTGCTTGTGCTTATGCTTATGTCGTGACTTTGACTAGTGAAAAATGGCTCGGCATAAGCACAAGCATAAGCACAAGGCCGTGGACCAATCGTAGGTCACTTTGAACAAGACCTCATGCGAACATATCAAAAGCAATATGGCGCCATATTGCAATTGTTCGCCATCTTGTTTATCATTGTGTTGAGGAGAGCTGGTATGGAGAATTGAGTCAAATATACCATTCTGCGGGTGCGTATTTCCTTGTGCTTATGCTTATGCGCTAGTGAAAACCAGGCTTTTAGGAAAGACCGTATCTTAATCAGGGGTACCCAATGTAAAATATCAGTTCGGAGAAGCAAAAATTGCCTAGAATTTTCTATAGCTTGGGGAAGGCTAAAAATTTTTAGATGACCTTTCCGTTCATGTACAAGTTTCGAAGCTTATCTAACACTGCGATTTTCTAAAGTTCAATTTTTCGTATTTCACTCCCCAGGTTAAGATATTTTTCGTAGAAAAAGGAAACCTAAAATTTTAGGATTCGAAAATGCGATGGAAAGAAGAATGAAAAAAATTCTTAATTTCTTCATACATTAAAATGCGCCTAAAATTTTCGGGAAAATAATACTGAAGCCCTTGTAATTTCGAAAAGACTCAAGTTGCCCTAGGATGACCGAACAGATAAACATTGTAAAGCGCCGCTTAAAATGCATTTCTAGAGATCTAAAAGTACTCTGGATAGCCTAAAAAGTATTTTTAATGCATTTAAGAAGAAACCGTTGTTGGACGCCCCTGAATCATCTCGGTAAAAAATTACAATTGCTTTTATAACGCCCTCATTAGCAGCCATCTTGCATGCTGGCGCGTTCTCAGAGGAGCGTAAATTTGAGATCATGGGTCATTTACAACGGATGGTAGATGACACACATAGGTTTTACAGTAATTCATTAATGAAATATGACACTTAAACGTCGTGTTGCTAAGGTTAACCATATATACGCACATTTAATCACATTGTCTGACGAAAAGAGTGGAACAATGCTCTTAAAAGGCCTTAAAAACGAGTTTTGTAGAAAATAAAGGACAATCAGGTCCTTTGAAAAGTTCACGAAATATATATGACGATCGACACTTTAAGTTAGGTGCAAAACAATAAAACTGTGAAAAGGATAGAGTGATGAACAATAACTTTACGGAACTGGCAATCTGAAGGCCTCTCGGTGGTATCGAGATTTCGAGATTGGATCAGATGAGAGATTAGGTACCATTCTCCCCCCACAAGAGAAATCAAATTTTAAGGACGAATACTATCAACTGATCATTTCGTTTTCATCTCAAACAACAGACTTTACGTATTTATGCCTGACGTAAAAGGGCTGTATCAGGCCAGTGCAGTCCCTTGTGTTCAGCGTTTTCTTTTTCCAATTACTTGCTCTCTCTTCTTACATTTTGTTTAAAGGTAAGCGTTCATATAATACAAGTGTCGTCTTTTATTTACAAGAAGTTCCTTTTTGATTTTTATCTACTAATTTGGTAAATGCTAAAACAGCTATCCCCCTCAGGGTCGGTTCATAGCGCTAGATATATTCCTCGACGCTTCTCGTCTCGGTTTATATATCACCACTATTCACCTCCCCTTCGGGGGATAGTTGTATAATATACCTAAAACAAACTTAATTTTCAAATTCCGTTAAAAAATCATACCTGCGGATCTGTGAGGGGATCAAGGAGTAAATTTTTCAACAACAGACTTGATAATAGCTGATAATTCAAGGCAGTCTTTGCTGTAATTAACCACAAAACGTCTGGCGAATCTGTTAATATATTGTCGAGTTTTTGGACCTTTGAAAAGAATCGGCAATTAAGACTGTTCAATTACTCATCAAGGGAAAAGTCTTTATGGAAATTATTTGTTTCAGGGACTTAGTTGTCTCCATATCGCAAACACTTTTAGGTCTCTAGCCATGTAGGCGGTGTTTATTGCCTTTCCTGGAGTTCGTAAATTTCGATTGTTTTAAATAGATGTTTTTTATTGTTGCTTAGACCACCTTACTCCAGAAACTTGTTTTCCTTTAAGCTAACAATTTGGCTCACGTCCATTTCTTAAATGTTTTTTGGAAAAATTCACATTTTCTCGCATGGGGGACGTTTGTAGAAAATCTGTCGAATCAGTCTACCGAGTACAAATAGGTGAGATATTATTTGTACTCGTCTATGTTGTTGCGTTCGACAACGCAACTTCTAATCATGAAATCTTGTGGTATGTGGTTATTCTGTGATACTCAGGGGATGGTCTTCTCTGTGAGTTTTTTGTGTGTGTCTTTTGTTTGAATTAAGTCATTTGTGCACGCCTCGGGCACCCTAGTTCGATCAGTGTCAAGCAGATGGTCCAACTGATGAGCGGATTTTACATCTGAGCTGGTTATTCTGTCCTAACTTTCTCGGTGGTGCTACATTGTTAGGTCAGGAAATGTTATGCCGGTCAAATCGAGCTGAAAAGAATAAACATCAAGTAACTTTTGTGCCGTCTGTACGTGCTCTATTGAGGAATTTATTTGTGCGTTTGAGTCTGTTCATTTAATCGTAGCTTTTTCTCTCTACTCGCGACAGACATTCTTGTAAAAAGTATGTTTGAAGAATTCTACTCTTGTATCAGTGATTCCTATGTTTATACATATAATGTTTTATCGACGTGTAAGATATCTGCGCAACGTTTACAATTTGAATTATTATCCGTTACTTTAGGTATTGGTTTCGTCATGGTGCTAGATCAACAACATCAGCAAAACTTACAACTGCTCCTTCATGACTGACCCAAAAACCTTACATCACCAAAAGACTCAAAGAGTAGGATTTGTTATGTGAAGAGTTCCCAAGACACAGTGTAAATTCTATACCCCTAGAAAGCAGGCAATGGAAGTCAGACTTACCGAAACCCAGATTGCTATTTGTGTTATCTCTGTTTTAGCAATCCTTGGAAACACGTTGACCATTCTAGTGTTTGTTCGTGACAAAAAGCTGCTGAAAAAGTCCTACAACGCTTTCATTCTTTGCCTCGCCATAGCAGATGTGCTGACTGCCATTCTCTTGATCGCGAGTCCGGGCTTTGCCCTTGGTGACCTTATTCCTCGTCCAACCAATCCAGTTCTTGGATATATCTTCTGCCAAGTGATCTGGAGCCGAATGTTTCTCCTTCAGCTGGTGTTTTTCTCCATTTATATTACATTGCTGTTAACAGTAGAGCGATGGGTTGCTGTTGTAAAACCTTCTGAATATAATTTATTCTTCAAGGGAAAGAGACTCATGGGCTACGTCTTGTTCTGTTTGATCTGGTCATTCGCACTCATTGGAACAGACTTGTTTGACGTGGTCTATGAACCAAGTTCATCATCCAATGACATCTGCAAATTCAACTTTATTTCATCAGGCTCTATCTTCCGCACGTCTCTGTCTGTGTTCCTTATTATCATGAAGTTGTTCTTTCCATGCCTTTCCATGATTG